TCCTGTGCATTATAGGTTTTTCAGCAGCATCCCTATCCTCTACCCACTAGATGCCATTAGCACGTGTGCACACACGTGCGTGTACACACACACACACACAGTTGTGACAGACAAAACTGTTTCCAGTCATTGGCAGATGTTCCCTAGGAACTAAATTTTCCCTGCTGAGAACCCTAGCTTTAGAGAAAGGAAGGAAGGACTGTTAACATCTCTGTGGGTGCTGAACCCCCCCCGCAGAAGACCCTTGTATATAGAACTGGGTTTTGAGTAAGTAGTTGCAGTGAACATGTGAAAAGTGAGTCTTGATGTCTAGCCAGTTAACTAAAAGAAAAGCTTTTAAGCAGTTTAATTTCAGTCTTTGAAGATTTTGACTGAGACATAGCATTAGAAAACTTGTTGAATGAGCAAATCAGGAAAAGTTCCAGAAGGGCTCTATGACCTTCAGGAAATGCATTTCTGAGTAGTGTCTATCTATGACCATGATGCTGGTTCTCGTGAGGTTGGACTGCAGGAGAGCCTTGCCAGCATCTGCTTTGGCATTTCTTCATGGAGTGGACGTTGCTGAGGGTCGGTGTGTGGCTGTGTGCAGTGGACGAAATAGAATGTTCTGGAGCACAGTGCCTTCCTTGCTCAGGGCGTTCCCAGCCTCCTCTGGGCAAGCAAGTCTCATACTCAGCATGATGAAGCTGTGCGAGTGCTGTAAACATGCCTGGAAATAAAACTGCCAGCGGTTGGAATAATGGTCCTGAAGCAGTGGTTTTCAAAACTCTTTTAGTAGCTGACGTTACTTTTCTTCAAATGACACATGTGGAAACGCAATATAAATAAAACAGGTCAGACCCAAATCCGAAGCCAGGATGAAAGAGGGGGGCCTGAAATCCCTCCCCCACCCCCACCCCCACTTCACCTTGGAACCGACACAAAGAAAATGCACTTTCCATTACATGTCTAACTGAAAGTAGGCTAATGCTTGGTTGGATAAAGATAATTTTTTTCTGACTGGATCTATCCTCTTTTTTTGGCTTTAGGTAAAAGTGATTTTCAAAAACCATTAAACCTAGATGAAGATAACAATGCTATTTCATTGCTGTGTTATTTTTACACTCAATCTAGGGAAGCAGGTTCAGGGGTTAAAAAAATGCATTCCTTAGATTTAACAATTGTCATTATTTTCTCATATTTGTTTTTTTATATACTTCTTTAAACTTCTAACAGATAAAGTTTTGTTTTGTTTTTTTTAAAAGATACATCCCAGGGCCGGCCCGGTGGTGCACTGGATAGTGCGCCCGCTTGGGAAGCGCGGCAGCGCTCCCGTCCGAGGGTTCGGATCCCACGTACAGACCGGCTCCCGCTCACTGGCTGAGCGAGGCACGGGAGCAATGCCGAGGCTTGTGATCCCGTCGCCGGTCCCCGGTCCGGGACCGGGGCCACA